ATGGAAAGAGGCAAAGTTAAACTCTCATATTTTAATAGGAAAAAAAATAACTTCATCCACAAAATGCTTTTCACCTGGCAATCCCTGAAGTTTCTCTCTCTCCTCCACAGGCTTCCTCATTTTGCTAATTACATACTTATTGAAAATGACAAAAGGAGACACGGTCACTCCAACCAGAGATGTATTCCCACTGAAACAAATATATCTAGCTCTTTCATTTTCTCTGCCTTACACACTAATTAAATGAATACTTAAAAATTTTATTCTTCAATATATTGATTGATATTTGGTGTTTCCAATTCTGTGGCATTACCAACAGCACTGAAATAAACATTCTTGTACATGTCTCTTTGTATATAATGTGTTAGAAACCCCCTTATGTTTATACCTAGAGTAGAATTGTTGGATTGAAAGGTATTACATCTTCAACCTTACTCGAATGCCAAATTCTATTCCAAAATGGTCGTACCAGATTTTATTTCCATCAGCTGAGTGTACGTACCCCACCTCCCCACCAACATGTATCAGGCTTTTCAATTCATGCCGGCCTGTCAGATGAGAAAACAGTATCTCAGCATTGTTTTACACATTTCCCTGATAACTCATGAAGGTAAGCATCCCTTCATGTTTCCTCTTCTGTATGAATTTTCTGTTTATGTCTCTTGCCGTTTTTAACTTGGTTGTTTGCCATTTTAAAAATTGATTTCTAAATCTTTTTAATATGTTCTGGACACTAATCACTGGTTATATGAGTTGCAAATATCTTCCTCTTGTCTAAGTTCTGCCTCTCTGTTTTTATTATCGTGTCTTCAAGGAGGCTGAAGTTAATTTTAACGGAGCCAAAATTATCTCTTTGCTTTCGTGGTTTATGTCGTTTTTGTATTTTGTTGGAGAAATCGCTTCCTATTCCACAGTAATTAGATATATTCTAAATAATTTCATGGAGGTTTCTTCCAATCCCACCCTCACAAATATACGAGCTTCTTTCCACCCTTTAGGTTTCAGCTTAAACGTCATTTCCTCAGAGAGGTCTTTCCTGGCAACTCTATTTAAAGTTAAATACCACCCAAGCATTCCCTAACTCAGTCTCTCATTCCTTTGGTTTTTAGTGACCTTGGGGCCAAGTCACTTAAGCACTTTTCACCTCAGTTCTTCTCCTAGAAACTGGGAATAATAAAGAACACCTACCTCACAAGGTTGCTGGGAAGATCACATGTAAAGAACTAAGATTTCAAGCACGCAATAGCACTTAACAGATGCTACTGTATTTTTAGCAGCATTTATCACATAGTGAAATTCTAATATATATATATATTAGAAAAATATATATAATCCATTAATATTATACTTGTGCCTGGCAGAGGGTAGGCACTCAATAAATATGTACTGAATGAATAGTGCAATATTAACAATATGAAATGCTTGAAAATTGCCACAACCCTATACGAGACAGCAACCACAGTTTTCATGTAATTCCTTTTTCCACAAAAAGGTAAGTTCCAAAATGTACAGAAAGTGCCAGCCCTCCTCCATTCTTTTTCTCAGCTCCATTCCTCTCCCAATGCAGGAGCCTCATTTTTGTTTGCTCAACTTTGCTTCTCAAACATCAGTTCCCTGTCAATGTAATTCTTTCAATCCACTTAAATTACCTGGAGAGAGAAAGGGAAAGACAGCTAGAGCCCAGAACCTGACCCAGCAAAAGCCACAGTCCAACATCCTAATGCTGTTGACTGGTGAGCATGACAAAAAGTCTCCTTTGTCCTGGGCTAAAGGATAAAGACCAGAACGAAAGCAGACTAAGCTGCCTTCTTGGTCCTCTTCTCCGAGATCTCACCACTCCAGTGCTAACTTGAATCCAAGTGAGACACGGCAAGGAAAAGAGGAGGAATAAAGGTATGAATGCTTAGAACTCACCTAAGCCACCCTTGAACTTCCCACGGAGGGCGTTGCTAACAGAGAGGCATTCCCTGGCCCGTTCTACCTCACTAGCACAAGAGGAAAAAGAGGGGCTCAATGACTGTAAGTGAAGGGTCTACATGTTATTGGATGTCTGCCCTTTGAATTTTTATCACATCAATTCATACATAATTAATTATTATAATTATTACATTGATACATCAAGTATTATAACATACTTTTTTTAAAAAAAGTGTTATTAATGACAATGTGATCCTCACCCTTATACAACTGTAAGAAAATAACTTATGAGACATTAACTAGGCCCACAGCTTGGTGAAGATTCATGAGTTAACATTTGTGAAAAAATATAGGCTCTGGGATTAAAGCTAGGGGGTCAAACCCCAAACTCAGCTTTCTCTAGACGTATGACCTAGGACAGATGAACCCATTTTCTTGCTGATATATAACTATACATAGTCGTTGTAGAGTAGAAATAATGCAAGAAAAGTGTCTGGCTCATAGGAGGTCCTCAATAAAACCTGACCATTTCTTACATCAGTATAACACGGTGTAAAGAGAACAAAAATTATAATCAAAACCCTTGGGTAGTCTCGTTTTCCCAGTTACCTCTGCCAAGAACCCCATCTGAGTTTGCTCCCCTGTGTGTGAAACGGGCATAATAACTGTGTTATTCACCTCAAAACATCACATACAGCATCAAATGAGTTACTACACGTTAAGTGCACTGGGAAGTATAAGGCATTTATTAACGAGATCTAAATGCTAAAAAAGTTCTACGGTAGTGATTTTTGAGGGACATCTTTTTAAAATGCATTGCCTACTGCCCTGCCTTACTGAGAACCACCTCACCTCGAGGTCTCAGGATCACTGATGTCTGGGACGTCTTTGCCCTTTTTAAGTTACCTACCATCAGATTGCTGTTTTTACATAGACTTTTTAACAATGTGTGTGCTAAAACTTAAAAAAATTAGCATTTTACCCGTTTTAAAGCATACACCTCAACGTCATTAGGTACACTTAAACCGCAACCATCATGACTATTCATCTCCAGAACTTTGTCATCATCCCAGACTGAAATCTGTACACACTAAGCAGTAACTCCCCGTCACACCCCTGATGATGGCTGCCCTTCAGCCTATTGTTTATCTGGTGTTGCTTCACTCATTAGCAACAGCAGTTCATTTGCTCTCCTTCTCAC